TGGAATTAGGATGATTTTTGATATATCTTCTCACGAAAGGCGCAATTGATATGTGTTTCACATATTACTTCTAAAAGTTTTCTCAGTTTAAAAGCAAACAAAAAATGCGTTATAAATATGGTCCCACTTAACATCCAGTCTGCGAGTCAATAAAACAAAATTCGAGGAATGGGATTGGCTAAGGAGAGTTGCCATGGTTTCCAGTATTTAATTTAGAGCAATACAAAAGTACTTCGGTAGAGAGCTCAATTTGTTAACCTAAAAAAATATTTTACTGCTAAAAAAGCTTTTCCTACAATAGTGTTCGACCACGATTATGTGGAGTTTATGGGTTTGGCCGGACTGTGTTGTTCAACCATGATGATATGAAGGGCAACCCCATAAACTCCATGTCATTGTGGTCGAACAACACAGTCCGGCAACCCCATAAACTCCATATCATCGTGGTCGAACAACACATTCCAGTCAATCCCATAAACTCCATATCATCGTGGTCGAACAACACATTCTGGTCAACCCCAGGGACTGTGTTGTTCGACCACGATGATATGGAGTTTATGGGATTGACTGGAATGTGTTGTTCGACCACGATGATATGGAGTTTATGGGATTGACTGGAATGTGTTGTTCGACCACGATGATATGGAGTTTATGGGATTGATTGGAATGTGTTGTTCGACCACGATCATATGGCGTTTATGTCGTTGGCCGGACTGTGTTGTTCAACCACGATGATATGGAGTTTATGGGATTGATTGGAATGTGTTGTTCGACCACGATCATATGGAGTTTATGGGGTTGGCCAGACTGTGTTGTTCGAACACGATGATATGGAGTTTATGGGGTTGGCTGGACTGTGTTGTTCGACCACAATGACATATAGTTTATGGGATTGACTGGAATGTGTTGTTCGCCCACGATGATATGGAGTTTATGGGATTGATTGGAATGTGTTGTTCGACCACGATCATATGGAGTTTATGGGGTTGGCCGGACTGTGTTGTTCAACCACGATGATATGGAGTTTATGGGATTGGACAGAATGTGTTCCTCTTGCGCAGGATATTAGAAGTGTTCACGCTCAGGCAAGTACGCTCCTAGCCACCTTACAGCGGTAAGTAAACTTTGCTGAGTCTTCCTCGCCATTTCTGTCGACAGAACCTCTACGAAAGAGCCGAGGAACCAGATCTTGTAAGGCGCAACATATGCTTCCACTACCGTGGGTTGTGTAAGATTTTGGATTGCGGTTGTGAGTCTCACTCCCTTCTAACCTGGAAACTAGTGCGAACTCACCCACGCTGATGGGCAATTCAGATTCCAAATATTATAGGATGTTCAAACCTCTGTCTGTTCATAATTAACAACAGGGGGTAAAAGCGTTTTTTTTTTTCTTTTTTGGTGATAGTGGTGGGGAATCAACCCAACGAACGTGTTTCCATGACTCGTAGACTGGATGTTTAAAATAAACAAATTATTAACATTGGGTTTGTCTCAGACGATATAAAAACAATTCCAAAAGTATGCTTCAATGAACAAAACTGTTTGGTTGTTTTATTATTAAAAGGAAAACTATACAGTAGGTTATTGTTGTTATGCAAGCCATGGAGATAGGACCCTGAATTTTAGCGTTATAAGCCCTCACTCTTACTGCTGAGTCACTGAAAATAAATGAACGAATAATTTACTGATTACTTTTTAATATTGGATAAAATATACATTTCATAAAGCTTAGATCTGGGAAAACACATATTTATGCTTCAATACGCTTATGTAATTAAAGATATTAGTCCTAAAATAATGTTATAAAGACTAAAATACATTCATTATATTCTTTACAGGATAGTTTGAACTATGTTTTTATAACAGTAAAACGAATGCACTATCAGTCGCATGTTTTAAAGAATTTTTGACGAGTGCTTTATGAGTTATATATAGATTTAATATACAGTTTCTTCAATTAGTATTTAAAATCACCTTCTCTAAGCTATACTAACTCCGTCGACTTTGGATTCAAATAATAAAAATGGTAATTATGGATAATATACGTTAACAGAAAATAAATAATAACTAAAAAGCATTAAATAAGTTATGTTACAATAGCATGAACGCACCAAAAAGCATTAAATAAGTTATGTTACAATAGCATGAACGCA